ATAAGAAGAACCCCAAACTTTAGCTTAGCTTGGTCCTGTCGTGTTGGTTCATGTAGGGTCATATGCACGTTTAAGTAAAGCTAACACTAGCTTAGCTATTAAAAATAACGCCTTCAAACGCTATTTCCGTAGTCTCTCGAGCATGCAACCATTTTCACATTTTATGTGGTAAATCACGATTTCAACTTACCATGTTTCTGTGTTATGTTCCGTTTTTGCTGAAGATTACGACCATAACTTTTGACCTCTCATGTTTTCGTGGCTCAGGCGTCCATGTGTTTATGCCGGAAATGAAAGAGAGCTGTCGTAAACGCCGGGTAAACGCAACTCACAGCTGTTTCCTTGGTTTCTAACGTTTGTGTTTATTCCTGGATAAATAAAAATTTGCGGGACAATGTGAAAGTTATTTGACTTTATAAAGCCATACAGTTAAAATAAAAAATACAGGTTAAACATTTTAAGGGAAACATTTTTTAAAAGGAAAAAAATGAAAATAATACCCAGTTTATGTCAATGAAACAAATATGCTGTTGTGATTCTAGGATGAGACAAGTACAAGTAGTGAATGTGCAAACTCGTGTTAATGCTTATGCAAGGTAGTTTGTTAGTGTGACAGATACTTCTAATAATACTGTAAGAAATATAGTAATAGTGCAATTATACTTAATAGCTGTGATGAGGTGGTAGAAGACCATTATTCAGGTGTCTAATGGTCTTTGGGTAGAAGGTGTTTGAGAGTCTTTTAGTCCTCAATTTCAGACTCCCGTAGTGTGAATAGATGACGCTGTAGGTGATGTTAATTATGTTTTGGGCCCTCCCGATGATGCTGGTGCTATGAATCCCCTGTAGTAATGGAAAGGTTACTCCTGAGATATACATTAAAGTTTTTATCCCTCTGTAATGAACAGTGCAAATAAATAACCACTGTGATTGTGGTAGTAATCATACTTTCAGCTACACATGCATAAGAAAACAAAACAACAACAACAACAAAACCTTAAAGATCACAGATGCATACCTTTTATGACTTTGTAATTTCTGTAATCTCTTCAGTCTGATGATTTCATTTTTCCCTTTGAATATTGCCTCTAATGTTGGTCCTAGCTGTGTGTCATTTCCCCTCCCATGCTACTCTTGGTCCTTTTCATGAATGCTGTTGGAAGTTGGAACCTGACATGAACCTCTTTGGCAGTGAGTTCGATTTTAATAGTTTCAAGCACATTTTAATTTGTAAATTGTGGGTCTCTGTGTGGTCAAACTAGATGCTATTGTTAGCAGCCCGTTAAATACTAGCTTAAACTGAATGCTTTTTGAATGCTTTTCTTGTCACACGTGTTTCTGGTATGTATACTCATATTATAGGTAGCTGGTGAGTGTGATACACCGCAGCTCAGGAGTGACTAGAACACTTGAAGTGTGATACACAGCTAATGTTAGCATTTAAAGTGCACTGGGAGGCCAGGGCTAAAAAAAATTAATTAAACTAAATAGTAGTTTAGCTAATTAGCAATTTAACCCTTTGTTAAAGAGCTACATGCACTGGAACAGCTAGACTGTTTTCCAGCAAGTAAAACTTCTTGCCAAAAAAGTGCGCGTGGGTTCAGCCCATTGACTGTAGAAAACCTTTCTACAGTCAGTGGGCTGAACCCATGTTTTCTACATGTTTTCTACAGTCAATGGTTCAGCCGCTAAGCGTGCTGGTTGATCAGAGGATGGCCACCTACATCTATGTCGTGTGCAAGACGGAGTGTTGGCAAACAGGCAAAGGTGATTTTCAATCAGACAGCACACATTCTTCTTGGCAGAGTCATCCAAGTGTTTTGGGTGGGATTTAAAATTTTCTAATATTTCTGAGTTGAGAGCAACCCTCGGCACAAACAAAAGGTAAGCCATCACTTTCTGGATTGTACTGAGACGGGGATGCTGGCACAACTACGGGCATTAGTGATGGGATTTCTGGCTGTTTTTAGAGAACCGTCTCTTTCGGCTCGACTCACTAAAAAGAGCCGGCTCTTTCGGCTGTTTTTAGAGAACCTGCTCTTCAGGTTGTTTTGTTGCTTTAATTAATTTATTATTAACAATAATATAAAATTATGCACAAAAGGAATTACTAATGTAAAAAAAAGTGGTTTTATTTATATATGTTTATATATAAATATATACAGTGACCCCTAGAGACAAAACACATACAAACTCCAAAAACCACATACAAACTCCAAAACACATTTCATATGTGTATTGTTTGTGTATTTATACATATGCACTCATATATATTCAAATAAATTTAAAAAAAATTTCATTTACCTGTTACTACCACACACCAAATCCGGTCGTTGGTACTTGCTGGCTTGTGTTGCCACTAGGTAACAAAAGCTCAACACTGGGCCTAGCATCCTGGAGCACTTCTGTTGTGTTTTGTACGTGTTTTGGAGTTTTTACGTGTTTTGGAGTTTGTACGTGCTTCAGGGTTTGTACGTGCTGCTTTGTCTCTAGGTGCCACCATAAATACACTTTTATTTATTCACTCCACATAAAATGTAATAAATAAATCATATAATACAAAAAGCAACTAGTCACATTTCAACTTTTAACTATTTAAATTTTCAGCTTTTTCCTTTTAAATAAATTTAAAATGAAACAACACAAAACACTGCAAATCACAACACATTTAAATATAAATTAAAATATGAAAACAAAAAGAAGATGTGCATTCTCTGTCATATGGGCCTGCATGAATAAACCTTCTGAATCCTTTATCATCCGCAACTGAAAATAGTTGTGGATCATTACTATACCTTTCTAATGTGACATTGTTGTCCCTGGCTTTCTTTCTCTCTCTGTTTCCCTCCCGCTCTGTTCCTGTGCTACTGCGAGTGTAACTACCGCCCCTCCCCCCTCTGCCCAGCGCAAAGCACAAGCCTCGCATGCGGAGTCAAGCGGAAAAAAGTGCGAGAGAGAGGGTGAGAGAAAGAAAAAAAACCCCACGGCTCTCGCTCGCGTCGTTCACGTCAAAGACCCGGCTCTAAGAGCCATTTCGTTGGCGACCGCCACATCACTAACGGGCACAGCTGATGGCATAGCCAGGGATGAAGAGGAGTTTACACTTGTATGGCGAACGAAATAAGGCTTCATCAGGTTAACGTGACACACACAACGTTTTTTCCTATGGTCTGGGGAACCTGCAAACATTATCAGCATCACTCAATTTCTCCTGGACAGAGTAGGGCCCACCGAACTTTGCCTGGAGATGGGGTTTTCAAAACAGCCACTTGATGATGGGAACCAATCAGCAGCTGCCAGCTCTCCAATTAGAAAGAGAACCTGCAGAGACACTCAACGGCACAGAACACACACATGGAAGAAAATCCAGACACTGATTCAAAATATGACCAGGGCCCTAACACACACTGCTGATTAAGAAGTCTGAAAAACTCACTAAAACGAATTTATCAAATGTTAAACACTAGGCTTTAAAGGGTTAAAAAGAAGGAAAGCAATGGCTGGCTCTGCAACAGCAGACATCCTGAAAGATCCCAGAAGACAATTAAAGTGAGTGATGGCTGAATTATTTTTATGGTTAAGAAAAATGACTTCAGAGAATCTAACCAAGTCAAGAACCATCTTGAGGAGGCAGATGCGTCACTGTCAAAGTCAAGAGATGTCCTCATGAATGGAAAGTTTGCAACAAGGCTTTGAACAACTAGAGGGTTCTGGAAAAAAAAGTATTTTTGGACAGATGAAACCAAGATGAGCTTGTACCAGAATGATGGAAAGAGAAGCACACGGTGAAGAAGAGAAACAGCTCATGATCTGAAGTGTACAATATCATCTCTCAAACATGGTGGAGGCAATCTTATGATATAACAATGTATGGCTGCCAGTGGTACCACACCATTGGTGTTTATTGATGATGTGACTGCTGATAGAAGTATCAGGATGAACTGTGAAGTGTACAGGGCTATACTGTCTGCTCAGATTCAGCCAAATGCCGCAAAACCCATCAAACAGCAGTTGGTAGCACAAATGGATCATGACCCAAAGCATACTGCAAAAGCAGCCCAACAGTTTCTCAAGGTAAAGAAATGGAATATTCTTTCATGGCCCTAATCAGTCACTTGATCTCATCCCAACAAAGCGTGCTTTCCAGTTACAAGCCCGAATACAATACTGGATACAAGACAATCACAGAGAGACCCAAAAACAAGCAGCAGCATTTTTTTTCAAGCCTCTTAAAATGGAAGCCATATATAAAAGTGACTGTCATTTACTAAACAGCTGATCCAATACTTTTGTTAAACCCTTTAAATTAAAGCTGGAAATCTGAGTTTTTATCATACCTTGAAGACTATTTAAAACTGACAGTGGTGGTGTACAGAGGATAAATTACAAAAATGATGCCATTGCTCGGATAAAACTTATTATGACAGTTACAATACAGCTAGACTAATGAGCAGACATAACACAAAACTAATAGTCTCATTTTGTGTAGACTACAGTGGAGGATAAAGGCTACAGCTGTATGCTACACTGTGGTATATAAAGGCACCCTGGCTTTGGGTGATGGCTAGTTTTAGCACAGAAGATACTGTGAACATCTGCAGAGAGTCTGCACGGAGCAATTTAAAACCGAACATGCCCCGCTGCGTTTCTCCCACCATTGGGCTGAAACATGACGGCAGGCAACACAATGGGACAGTGAAGGGCCTAATTATTGCCCCTATCATTTGCATAATTACAATGTTTTTTTCTAAAGCAGGGGCAGTATAGAAATTGTAAATTGTAGTGGACTAGCTGTCTTTCCTTAGTGGAAGTCATATTTAAATGGAGAGAGCCTTTTCTGCTAGCCAGGCAGCCAGGCAGCCAGGCTCAGGCAAGAGGTCCCAATCAGCCAGCCTCACAGACTGCTCATTCAATAGGATTTAAAAAGCCAACTGTGTGGAGAAATGAGAGTTTTGCCCCCCAAATCATATGGAATTACAGTGCTGGTTGCATATGGGGGGAGCCAGTGGAAGGCACAAAAGCCCACAGGAAGCAGCTATTTCTGTGTGTTTTATTAACCCAACCAAGCAATTTAATTCTTTTGTTCGGGGGAGTTCTACTTCATTGATTAACAAAAGCGGGGATATAATTTTTTCAGCCCCTTTTGAAAAGCCTGAAATGTCAAGCCTTTTAAAGGAGATTATTCTGCCTGTGTGCGATGAATAGAGCCCAGAGTAACCTTTTGTCTACAATTAAATATTCCAGCATAAATATAAAAGAAAATCAGAGATGGGGAAGATTGAGTCAGGAGAGATTGGAGAGGTAGATCCTCTGCCCGATAGTGGCAACAGCCTGGCTCTAATTAGATATGCCAGGCGGGCTGTGAGCAGTCACTCTCCACAGCACGCCGAGAGAAGAGGCAGCCTGAGAGAAGAGGACAGAGGAAACCTATCTGCTCATCTGTCTGTCCAGCGCCTTCCTCTGGGCATCCACAAGGTATTTCAGGAGACTTTGTTTTGTTTTGTTTTCCGCCGTTATTTGTTTTCCCGACATCTTAGCTGCCAGAGAGGAAGAGTCTAAAAGGCAATGCCTTCTGGGAACTGCATAAGTAGATAGGGCTGAATGGGGGGAAAAAGTTGTGAGATTGTTTGTGATTGTGAGGAATGATTAGGATGACAATAAGATACTTTAGGGACAAAGAGTGGTTTTTTTGGCACTCTGGAGGTAGACAGTGAGGCTGTCTGAAGAAGATGAAGAGGGATGATATTAAGTTTTGTATCCCTGCAGTGCTGCATTTGATTGTGTTTTGTGAGTTGCAGTTGGACTTGGCATTTGCATTGTGCACTTAGTAGGCTGCAGTGTACAAGGTGACCTGCATGCTTTGATAGGAAAGCCGTGGGTTTATTCCTTACGGAAACATACATCCGGTGATAAAGTTCTGCCATTAGCTGATTAGAAGTTTGTGCAAATGATCAGATGCTTTCCTCTAAATCGCACAGTTGCATGTAGTTCTGCTGGTTCAATTTGTGCTGAGCCAGTGCTAGTTAAAGTCAGGTTATAACCTCCTGTCAGCAGATTATTTTCCTGTCCAATCATTTTCTGGAATGACTTCATTAGAACGACACCATTTCAGTAAGTAGGCGTGGTGCTTCTTCTTTTGGCTTTTTGGCATCATGTGGTCATACATGGGACACTTTTTGACACAATTTTGGTTTCCTCGATTTAACCTGATGCTTGATGTGTAAAGTTCTGCAGTTTGTCTTCATACAAGCAAATTACTTTGAAATGAAGTGCTGCTGTGATCTTTGAACCACTAGAATTGTTTCTATCGTCACTATAGAAAGGCGCTCAGAGGAATGTATTAGAGGAATTTGTTTAAAAAACAAACAAACAAAAAGAATATGACTAGTGGATTGTCTTTCATGTGAAAACATTGCCATACAACTCTAAGATATGAAAAGCAGTATTTTTGAAGGTTTGTTGCTGGAGATAAAAAAGCCAAAATATATCTGAGTGCAAGGAGGAACACCCTGGAGAGCCTTTCAGCTACAAAAATCATGCAACAGTTTACACAGTGAAAAAGAAAGAAGGCAGTTGCTTTAATGGCCTACACACAGTTGAGCAATTCAGTAATAATTACAACTGTGAGTTAAGTTTGTGGTGGTGAGCGTAGCGGTGACTCCGCCTGGAAAATAGATGCAACAGGCTCTCTAGGCCAGTCAAATGACTTGATGATGTCACCGTTCTGTGTTGCTGCTCCTTCCTCACTGTTTTAAATTCTCTCATCTTTAAGTTCTCTATGAAGGTGAAATGTGTCTTTTTGCATCAAGCAAGTTGAGAATGTTCATCTTTTGTGTAAAAAGCTGCTTTTCTTCCTCTGTTTTTCCAGTCAGGATGCCCCAGAAAGACATTGTGACTTTTTGCTTTTGTGCCAAGCTTAATTCAGATGTAGTCACTCCATGGAAGTATCCATAGCATATACTTTTTTTTGTACGAGGAGTTTAGAATGAAATCAAACTAGATGAGCTTTCAGGGGAAAGACATTTTTTATGTACTAGAATAAAAAAAAAATTAATGTATCGAAAACTACAAAAGAAGTCTTTTAAATATTAACAGGTTTAATGAGTCTTGTCTTTTTGGGAATGATAAATGATAACCATGATGAACACAGTGTGAGTCACCAACACGTTCACAAATGTTTATTCAGCTACTGTGTTGATGATAAATGAAGCCCTCCCTCGTTCAAACAGTGTCTCGCAGATTGTATACTGACAGAGCGCCAGCCTGGAGTTAACTAGTGACATGTTGGTCCCAGCTGATGAACTCACGGTGTCCCTCTTGAGATGAATTACCTTGTGTTTGAATGTGAGTCTGATAGATTTCAAAGAAAATCCTGTTTCTGTACTGAACAAAAGCTTCGCCTCACCTGACGCGATGTTACATCTTTTATTTCCGACACAACAGCAGTGCTTGAAAGTGTTTTTTCTTAGAATAGCATCAAATCAAACCTGAGAAACACTGTCCCACTTTAGTTTCACTCCTTTAAATAGACATGCAAAGGTCCATGTGGACATACTGTCTCAGAATATTAACTATTATTAATATTCATTTATTGATGCAGGCATTTGGTTAGATAGTAAATACTGTATTCTGATGAATATAACAGTCTCCTGTATTTCATACAGTTTGAGGTATGCATATCAGACAGTTAGCAAGATATAGTCATTTTTATGGTAACATGAAAAGTCAACATTTTTTAACCGAAAGTTTTTGGATCCAGGCTGTCTGTAAAGCAGTCAGTTGTATCTACCAAATTCATCGAGGTTAACATAATTAATCTATGTGTGTGTCTTGTTTCAGGTTATTTGTTTGACCTGTGTGGCCCCTCAACAACAATCAGCATGTTCTTCTGGAAAAAACAAAACAAAACATACTGTCCACCCCTGTTGTACCTTGTGCTGTATTCAGGATATTTTCTGAATATTTGTTTTTTCCGATCTGTCCTGTTCACTCCATTGATCATCAACTCAGTGTAATGAACATGTTTCTTAAAAGAAACACAGCAAGCACAGTAAAATATATTTGTTTCCCTCGAATTATAGTTTACGGTACTGTGCAACTTGAGCCATCCCTCTTTGAACAGTGGCTGCTTTTTCACTCGTTTTCAGTGCAGTCCTTGGATCTTAGTCCACAACTTGCTATATCTCAGCATGGTGTGCAGTGTGTTCCTGAAACTTCTGAGCAAACTGGACAAGTGAAAGGGCCTGAGCAGTGTAGCTGGCCCTTCAGTTGATCCAGCTTCTGTTTGCTGATGATTCATCAGAAATGATCTCAGCGGAAGGGTGGAAGTAGGGAAACATGACCGGGGTATACAAAATTACACAAAAACTGGACTGAAAATCATTGGCAATAGTTCTTATGTAGCAGTGAAATCCAATTTTCAAAATCCAAAATTCTGGGTTCTAATTGTTAATATTATCTACCATGCTATACATACCAGGAAGGAGGTACAGCTGTGAGTGTCTACAGCCATCTATAAAACACGGTGGAGGCTCTGTCGTGGTTTTGGGCTAATTTCTGCTAGTGGTCTTGAAGATGCTGTCATAACTGATGGAACTATGAATGCACAAATGTACCGTCAGGTTTTGATCAACCCTGCACTGCCATCTGCGGAGCATCTGATTGACAATAACTTTATTTTTAAGCATGAAGGTATCAGTACATATCGGTAAGCATCAAATACAGTGCTAATAAATACTGTGCTTTCATGTATCTTTGCAGATTTGAGTAAAGTGTTGCAACTATTTTCTGTTTTCCTGACATATAAAGAAATGAGCGCTAGCTCAAAACCTTTGCACAGTACTCTTCTAAACTTTTCTAAACCCTCTTGCATTTACCTAACATCAAGCAAGCCTTTACCAGGAACTGCCCCACATTCAAATCTGTTACCAACCCTGTTTTAATCTTAATCTTAACAGTCAACAGAAATACTAAACTAAGCTCTGCAAGAAGTGTACAACGTGAAAAAACCCATCTTTTTTTAAATCATTTTTTCTATGATTGTGAGAACACTCTGGTCCTTATAAGTAATGAAGCACACAACACACACACACTTACAGCAGTGGGCCTGTGCTCAAGCAGTACTAACACACATACATAAATCTAATGTCACCTCTATTCCAGCAGCCTGTTTGTTCCCAGAGGGCATCTTCAGAGCTTTGGAGGGCTGATTGGAGTAGACAGCAGTAATGACTGCAGGTCAGGAGGTCACAGCCCTGTTATGATAACTAAATTCTGGGGTCAAATGCCTTAACGGCAGCCCGCTGTGACTGCTGATGATGCCCCGATAACAGCAGATGAATAATACACTGTTATTTGAACAGTTTAAATCAGAATTAAATCAAGATTCATTCATAAATTGAATTTTCTTCTTGCTCAGTTGTCATGCCTCAAGTACGCCAACTCGGTAACCCCGACTGACCCAAATATAAGCTTTTTTTTTGGAAAGTTATTTTATTTTATCATGCATTTAATTTGAAAATATTACAGTGGAAGAATTTTGAATGCTCACAGAAAATACGTTTGTGTATGGTTATAGACAGCAAATCAAGCAGAGCATTTCAAAAACGTACAATTTTGTTCTAATAGTTGCCAGTTACTCTGCAGACAGACCACAAAACTGCAAAATACCTCACCATGTTCTTTTATCAGAAGACAAACCAAGGTCATTTTATTGCCTTTTAACTTTTTAATCTTTCTTTCTCTTTGTTACAGACTTTTTAACAGGAAATTCTTTTTTTATTTTTTTATTTTTTTATTTTTACACCAGAGTAGTTATTTGAATCAAGGCTGGTTGTAAAGGGGTCAGTTTTATCTACCAAATTCATCAAGTTTACACATTTTCTGTACAAGGCCAAATAGTCTTTAAACATTGTGTAAAATACTATAATTAGATTAAATAACAGAGACATAGTAAAAAAAAAAAATGTTAGTGAGATTTATTACATAATCTGAATTTTATACCAGTGCCAGTGCAGGTTCTTAGTAAGGAGTTGCTTTAGTTCAGTTCTTTTCTCATATGCACAACACATGGTTATTGTTCAATAGAATAATCAAACTGGGACTTAGACGGTACCAGTGACTGTAGAAAACTGTTTTCTAAAGTCATTGGATGGTACTAAATGAAATAGATATAATTTTTTTTAAAGTGTCTGTTATTTCCACATTTTTGACCATTAATGCTAGAAATTGTGTTTGAAATGTTGTCGACCACACAGTCATCATCTCTCTACATCCCCGAGCACACATGGAAACATTCAAACACGTACAGTAGGCAGGTAGTCAGACATACAATATTGGCACACTTACTTCTACAGAGAGTCAGAGCACATGTATAAATCTGGCATAATGCTGATTTTTACTTTCCCCAAAGAGGACTGCTAGCTTGGCAGAAAGGAAACAAGAATTATTCAATCAAAAAGCTCTCCTTCCATATCCAGATTTGACTCCAGCCACATAAAGCTGGCCACATAATCCTTTTATCAAACCTTCCGATGCAATATTTTTATTGGAAATGCCCAGAGAGAGAAATAATATTAAGGTCATTTCTATATCTAGTTTATTTTTTTTCCTTAGAAAAAAAAAAATCAGCGCTGCCTTCCATTTTTATCTTGAGACAATAATTACTTCAGGTTTGCGGATGGAGACCTAACTGCTGATTATGAATGTTCTCTGCCCACTAAGGGAATCTCTGTCTTCATCAGTAATAACAAAATCAAATTGCCCTCATTAAAAAAAAAAGTGTGTGCGTGTGTGTGTGTAGAGTTGGGGGGGGGGTTCCACTGTGGTGACCCTTGGACAGGCAGGTTGAGGGAAAATGTAGTCGGTCAGCTGGTGATGTTGGCTGCTACTACTAATATCTCTAAAGTGGTAGATATGGAAGCTGTGAGAGCTGCTATTCTGTCCTGTCAGCGTTTCACAGCTTTATATCTCTGCTCGCCAAAGCTCAGTGGGCTGAGCTTGGTATGTGCAGCCAGTGGGGTTTTTGCTGGACTGAAACCATTTTCTCTACTGGAAGAAAATTATCTCCTTTTCTACTAGCTCCTTTGCTTCTAAGGGGTGTTTTGATTGTTTTCTGTTTCCTTCCTGGTGTGAATATAGCTGATAACCTACAGTTATATGTGTAGCTGTTGATGTAGGTGAGCATCTATTTGTATGTAAACCTGGCGGGAAAAAAATTGGATAACTATCCGTACAAATAGGCTCAAAACATGTGAACCATCTGAGAAGTTCTATTCAGTAATAATTTGTAAAACTTGGTCTGATCCAAGTCTCTCTTGCACAGTCTATCCTTTCTCCATGCTCTTGCCTCCAACCCATCAAGGCAGATGGCCGCCCCTCCCTGACCCTGGTTCTGCTGGAAGTTTCTTCCTGTTTATAGGGAGTTTTTTCTTCCCACTGTCGCCAAGTGCTTGTTCATAGAGGGTTGTCTGATTATTGGGGGTTTCTCTCTATTACTGTAGGATCTTTAACCTATAGTATAAAGCACCTTGTATAACTTTTTGTGTGTGACACGTGGCAGGTGAAGTGAACAAAATGTCTGGCAGCCTCTTTTATATGATTTATTTTGCTAGATTTGGATTCAAAAATGTTTTATATAGCATGGAGACATTAACTCTGTGGGGTTTGGCTACAGTTACTTCATATTGGTCTTGAATTACTGTTAATAAGCTGTACGACTGTAGCAAATCATAACGTCACACTGCTTAAGTGCTAACATGAGATTTGTTGAGTTTTTGGCATTGCTAGAGACTTTTTTGTAAAAGACAGATGATTCCTGATGCTAGTCAGCTGTAGCCATGATAAGAACAGTTCATTCACCTGTTGGCTTATTCCAGTCGTACGTTCCTGAGAGATGGAGTGGTTCAGTAGCTGTGGAGTAGCTCAGTGTGAAGCTGTTTTGTATCAGACACAAGGAAAAACAAAGCCAAGGTTCTGCTGTACAACACAACCACGGACAAAGACTGAAATAATGCCCATAAAAGATGCCACTTTTGGCTGTCTGACCTCAGTAATGGCTGCTACTCTATCACACTGATGGAATGATGCAGCCTGCGACCTGGAAATTGATGTCTGGTCAGTGGATCTGAGAATTAAGTGGCTTCTCTCCATTAGACTTTCTGACCGGAGTGGCCATGTTAAGTCCCAGACTGTGTCTTCATCTGGGTGGACTGGTAATGGGAAAACAAGTCATAGTTCACTCTGATGCATAGGTGTATGTTTGTGTTAGGGAAAAAATCCAACAGCTACAGAGCTGCGTGTGTGTGTGTGTGTTTGTGTGTCTAGAGAGCTATGATTATCCGCTGGAGGAAAACAAGTGCAGAGTGAGGGGTCCATTGTGGAAACAGGATTATAGCCTGTGAGGGAGAACAGAAGAGTCTCTGCTTTGTGTTAATGTGCAGTGTTTTCGAGTATAATGTAAATGGTTTAATTTGCGTTCTGTGCGAGTGTGTGTGTGTGTGTTAGTTGATGATTTAAACAGTGAGTGTGTCTCATTAGTTTTTTTCTGCTGAATATGTAAACCTTGTTGTCTTGGAATGCAGGCCCAGGGCACGTGATTATTAATATGACAGCATGCACACACACACACACACACACACATATGCGCGCGTGTGTGTCTGTATAAGTAAACACTTCCACAATCAGACATCATTTAGTTTGTTTTGATCAAGGTGTACAACCCAGAGAGAGCACAGAGACAAGAAGAGCGAAAGAAAGGAAGAGAAAGAGAAGGCAGACTTTTCTTTCTAAGAGTTCCCCCATGTCAGTCGTGTAAGAAAGCCACCAAACCAATAATTTTGTCAAGTTCTTTTTTTAGCGGAGCGGCTGAAGCGTCTTTGGATTGCCACATGTATAAAGGCAGCCCATATAAAGCCATTCACAGCACTGAATGAACACGCCATCTGTGGGGCTTTCTTATTTCCTCTTCTCTTTTCTTCGCCTCCTTTTTCAAGCCTTGTAATCAAATTTGAGCAAAATCAAATGGCGGGAGGATAGAGGGAGAGCAGTGGGGGGGAGGAGGGGGGAGGAGGGTTCAATGAAAGTACCTTTTGTTGGTCTGAAACGAGCAAGTAATTTACAAAATGCCCTCCCTTTGTGCAGGGGGCTAAGGGAAGAAAGAAATCAGTAGCTTTTAGAAGCTAGGCCTTGCGCTGCGACGGGCAAGATAATGAAAGCCGTCTTGTGTTTGTGGGCTAGAGAGCATCTCAAAGGCAGACCAGGCCCCGGCTCAGGGTTAGCTCGGCTGCTGAAAAAAAAAAAAGGAAGGAAAAAAAAAAAGAAACCCTACAACACTCTCCTCTGTGCATGCGTGTGTGTTTGTGTGTTTGGCAAAGAGCGGCAAAACAGGACTGCTGTGCCCGGCTACTCTTGGCAGAGACACTCTGAGGAACAGGCAGAGTTGTCGATGCTGAGGAGAGAAGAGGAATGAAAGAATGACTTCAGTGGCTACGGGTGGTGCTTCATCTCCTCTTACCTGGTGTCCTGTCGCAGGTGCATCTGGCCGGCCCTACATACAGAGGTGGCAACACCTCCGCAGAGGAGTCTGGAGCTGGAGAAGAAGAAGAGGAAGAGGAGGAGGAGAAGAGAAAACATCCTGCAGGGATCATTGTGCTGAAGGATTACGAGGGGCAGGCAGAGGATTTGAGCTCGCTGGTATCATGTTGCGTCCTTCTGTTCCTCTGCTTCCACATCACGGGAGCTCAGCACCTGACTGGTGAAGGGACAGTCAGCTTTTACCTGCGTGGACCTGCTACGTTATTACCTAAGTGACACCTGGTTAGATCGCTCCTAGGGATTATTACAGGTCAGATCATTTGCAACATTTAACTTCTGTTTGTGCAAAAACTAAATTAGTCAAACTTGTTATGAGAGTAAACGGAAACTAACTATGTTAAACATATCTAGAAGCCATTCATCTGCGTAGATACGACAGATGTCTACAGAGGAATAATAAGTTGTCACACGTTATATACTTAACAGCGTTACTAAAAGTTGTAATGACCACATTTGTCCTAAGAAGTTGTTGTAAGGTTATGTTTAAATGTGTGATGGGTGTTTGTGTGGCCTACAGACTCCATCCTGGTTGACAGTGAGTGGACTGATACCTGAAGACACCACCTGAAGTGCAACTCATGGTGAGTCAGGACAAAATATGTAACGGGTTTCTCCTGCTTCCTACACACACACACACACACACACACACACACACACACACACACACACACACACACTATTCTCACCTTTTAATCAGCTGTTTGTCTGCGTGTGCCTAAAGCAGCCATTGCCTCTTTGCTCCATGCTTGTCTTCATCTTACAAATCTTACATTTGAAGTGCCTGAATTATAGTGAAGATAATTAATGAATTTCACATGAACTATATTAGATTCTTCTCTTTGTGTGTGTGTGTGTGTGTGTGTATTAGCTTAAAAAGCCTTTAAAGTTTTCAGATAGAAGAGGTGTCACATTAAAGTAACCGTCAAAGTGTTATTCCGATATGGCTTTGAATGTCTTGGACCTTCGTACTCCTCATTTTGTTCTCTGCATTGAAGTCTAGAATTCTCACACTGTCAGTGAAGCCAGAGAAGATCGACATAAGTGAAGGAAAACTAATCTGAGCCACCTGTCTAAGTTAGAAATCACATGACATAATTTTTTATTGCAAAAATTGTGCTTGATTACAGACTCCTTGTGTCAAGAAAGTAGTGCATGTTTACACTGCTGAAAACACAAGCTGATTTGTGTTGTCAGTGAAACTACCTCAGAACCTTTCTCTGCCCCTGCTTCCTCTTGTATAGAAGAAAAACAAACAGTACAGTGAAAATAAATGAATAATTATTAGCAAAACAATCACAAAGTCGGATATTAGAAGATTAAGACTAGAATGAATGATGTCATCAGGTGCTGACCTTCCGACCATAAAATGGGACACACCCAAATAAAACATGAGTGAGAATTATACATTTTTGCACATCCTAATTTACAGTGTTTGCTGTCTTACTCTTAGGTACATTGACCTTATTTAAAAGTCGAATGCTATTTTTTCACATTATTTCATACTTGTACTCCACTGTAGTTCAGAGACATTTTTTTTATATACCTTTTACCTGACAGCCATTGGTTGGTTATTTCGCAGAAGCTGACCAGCAGTTTGAACACACATGTGAGTCCAGTGTGTGTGTATTTACGTGTTAGATAAAGAAACGTTTAGGATCTGCAAACTTCTCCCAACATCTCTTATTTTGTAGAAGATTTTGCAATATTATTTAGTTGTTTTTATATGTAGCAGCACCAGGATTTGTCTTTAGTTGGTGTCATGAGTACAAAGTGTTTGTGTGTTACTCATCTAAGTGTAGGTTCAGATTTATAAATGAAAGCTAAGCCGTGCAATGCAGAATGAAGCGACCATATATACGAAGCAGCAGTGGTGGAATGTGCATGTGGGAGGCTGGAGGTTAGTTGTCATGTTTATCAAATATGTGAACCAACTTCATTTGTTATTGTCTATCGATACAGTTAAGCAGTTTATTAATATATTAAGCAGTTTCCTGCCACATCTGTATTAAAGCACAGAATGATATTCCACTAAACTGTTATTCGCAGGTGCTCCTGTTGTTTTAGAAGAAATGGATTGAAATGTATCTATGCCATTTAACAGTGTTACTGATCACGCAAAGTGGTTTACATTTAAATAGCGCTTTATTAAATGCACTTGAAGCGCTTTACCTGTGTCAAATCCACACCACCACCCTTAGCATCTGCAGTTAAAATAAAACATGCATGTCTTTGGATGGTGGATAGGCACAGAGAAAACATTAAACTTAAACTTAAAGACCCAACAAGGTTCAGACACAGACTCCACTTACTGTGAGACCGACTGATATTGAGTATCTGAGGCCATTATAGACTGATCAGGCAATAGTATCATTATGTATACACCTATGTGCATACATCCATACATACGTAACCTTGAGTATTGATGCACAGAGAGCAGAGGGTATTGTTAAGAATGATGTTAGAGCTGCTTTGCTAGACAATCTATGTGTTGACACCTTTTTAAAATATCCCAAACATTTGTTTGTACACTCCTGTATCAGCTGAACAATACATTGACCTGTCTAGAGAGCACAGTAGTGTAAAGAAACTTTTCACATTTTAGATGTGTTGTTTTGCCAGTTGAAATTCAATCAACTGTAATGTAAAACTGAGTGAAACATCAAATCTTTGTTTGCAAGACTGCAAAGAGAAGTTTTGTTTTGTACTTTCGCCTAAAAGAAGCTCAAAATTGTCAAAACTACTGTTGCTTTATAAAGCTTGTAAGTGCAGACAAAATGTAAAATCATTTATAATTAAGTGTATGGCTTATTGCCCTAAGGAGTTTTGCCATTCTGAATGTTAAATTAGAATACGTGCGATAGTTAAAATTTAATTTGGTTAATGCTGATTTACCTGAGTCAGTCACCCTGTTACAGAAGTTTCATGCTGTTATTTCTCCTCCTCCTCGTTTTTTTATTCAGGAAACAATAAACAAGCGAGCCACATTCAAATGAGCTGATTTCTCTGTTGGCATATTGAAATGTCAGAATTTGCACTGGAACAAATACGCTGGTTAAAATTCAATTGGAACAGAATGGGTAATGACCTATCTTGGTGTTGCCACACGCTAACAGGCAGAGTCCCAGACTGCCTGGAGGGTTACAGTCACTTAGTCACATGGCATGCATCAGCGCTTTGATTGTTACCGACACATCTCTGAGCCCCTGGCTCCCCAGCGCAGGTGCGAGGATGCGGGGGCGAGGGGTTGGTGGGGTGGGTGAGTGCAGGGGAAGATAAGCATACCTTTTTGCCATGCAGTCAAACTGTTTTTTTAGATTTCATACAAATAAACAAAATATTTGACTTAACTAAAACGGTAAAAAACAACAACAAAAAAGGTTCAAAAGATATTTTTTCTTTTTCATTTTGTATGATTTTTATTTTTATCCATCTTGCAACTGATATGAGCACCTTATGTAAAACAGCAATTTCCTCTACACTGCTTGTGATGCACAGCTATGGATTAAGTTGTTTAAAAGAGACATTAGTTTGCTGGATGGATTTAGTGTCGAGATGCAAGAGGGTTTTGGGTATTGTGCATTAGTCTCCTCTCTGAAGCTCCTGCATAAGAGGTAATGAATATATATGTGTATGTATATATGCATGTGTGTGTGTGTAATTCCTATATCAAAAGGAATACATAGAAACTCAGTAGAAATGGTAATTATAGGGAGGAAAATCTAACTTGATCAGAACTTCGCATCCATCTGTTAGCAGCACAACAGTAGTAGCATTTGGACTAATCATGACAGGCAAAACAGCTGAAACACAATCTGTAAACAGTAGCTGAGTTCCTTAAAAGTCATAGTAAATGATGAGAGCCGGTGTGCTCCCCAAGTGGATTGCAGCCATCAATAAAATGCTATTATGAAGATGCTAGATGTTGACAGCATGCTGCTGGATTACGTTACTTCTTCCTATAACTCTAAGAGGTCCACTGGGTTTACAGGTCTTTGAGCCCAAGCATCATTTTTATAACCTTTTATGAATCTTTATAACTCCATAAATGTTTTATGGTGCCTGCAAACATGAATCGTATGAAATAATTGTTTCATCTGTGATTCCATTTGCTCCTTGTTATCTTTTCACCTCTTCCATCTGTTATTTTCAATTTGACCGCAGAAGCATCGCCTCAATTAAATCTCATGGGTTATTAATCTCCTTTAGGTTGGCAGTGTGTTGTGACCCATACAGCTCCCTGAGGACCCTCTAATAACTGCTAATGGGCTGTTAAAGTAGTGGGTGGGGCCTGCGCCGCTCACGACTGGATGGCTAGGTCTCACTGCCAATTACAGCTGATCGAGCGGGAGAGGTTGAGGGTGTGAGTGAGACTGCACCTGCATGCATGTGTGTCTATGCGTGTCTGTCAGTCACACACTTTTTCCACCCAGCTAGCTGTGAGTCATTAGCAGCAGCAGCTAGTCATTAAGCCCGTCATTTCCTCTGTCTGTCAGCTGACCTGCTGATTTGGACAGCTTCTATACTTAACCTATGAACTCGGATTTCCTTTCCTGTGAGGAGTGTGTGTGTGTGTGTGTGTGTGTGTGTGTTGCAGTGGGGGGCTGTGTGCAGAGCATGTTGTACAATCAATCAAAGGAGCCATATTTAATGTCGGGTACATGTGTTTGGTTGTGTGCCAGTCATTGCCGTGTGTTTCTTGGTTGAACAAAATTCTGTGAACATTAGTGGTTTCAGCGTGTTTTTTTAAAAGTGTGTTACCAAACCTGAATTCAGGCAAGATCAAAGGCAATACAATGAACTGATTCCTTTAGATTTTTAATGATTTTAATGATGGAATTGGCGTGATGTTTTAAATCCTCTCTTATAAACTGTTACGTTTTGCAGCTATTGCCATTATGTAAAGTGCTTCAATAAAAGGGGTAGAAGTAAAAAGATTACCTGAGACTCGGACTCTATAGCTTGTATTTTGAGTCACTCTACTTGTTCCCTAATGTGAGAAACTTTTGCCTTGCTTTTTAAAATCAAACAACTAGTGTGAGTAGATGTTTAGAGTCTAATCTGTGTAAAACTGTGTTAATGTAGCTGTATGGACTATGTGGTGTCTCTGTTGGGTTAAAATCTGAACCAAAGTACGACAGACAGCCATCATCGAAATGTGATTTTCTTGTAACTTTTGCTAGCCTTGTTTCTCTTGACTGTCTTTATACAAAACATCATATCTCCACTGCCACATTCCTGTAAATACAGTCTAATTACTTTCAAGGATATGCTGCACTTTTACCAAATTTTATGTCTTTGCATAATAGTACTTTGAAAACCTGCTGCAGGGAAAAAAAAATCATATCCTCCTTCACTAAAGTTTTGTACAGGTGTGTACTGTTCCCTTCATTTAAATATCCTCTAATACCTTCTGACTTCTCTACCACTGGGATTAACCTTGTGCTACTTTGTCTTAACTGCTGCTTCGTGTGGCTCTCGGGGAGCTTCCTGGAGCCCTGCTAGTGGTGATAGAAGCAGAAATTAGGCAGCTTTCTGCCCCAAAGCTGCTGCATTAAGACAGCCCTCACCTTGGCCTGCGGGAG